TTGTATATTTTTGTTTTTTCAGAAGTTAATGAGACGAACTACAGCCCTGGAGCTGGTCAACTGGGCTGACCAGCATGAAAAGGGGAGAGTGGCGGAGGTTCTTGTGATGGAGGCGATGAGCAGTGAAGAAAGCTGTTATGAGGATGATAATATAAATAATTCAAAATTAACAAAATACTCTGTCCATCACCTTCAATGGGAGAGTAGAAGAATGAAAAAAATAAAAAAAAAACTTGATAAGGCCTATAGGAAAAAACTCACTTCAAGAGCTAAGGAGAGAATCCTACCCAGAGTTGATGGGCAACCTTCTCTGAGATGCCCACCAACTGAAAATTTTCCAGGGTGGGCAATAAGGCAGTAAAAAAAATTGTTTTATCAATTTAAGGTGACAAATTGATTGTTGAAAAAAGTATTAATCAGCCATGTCTAGAATGAAGGTCTTTTAAATGCCTGCGTGAGACTTCTTTTTCATTGAATATGTTAATTAACAATTTTAATGGTCTCATTATCTAAAATAAGTAATTGTGAATTCTTCAATTTTATATTTAATATCCTCCATATGAGATACTTTTTTCCATATTGATGTACAGGTTGGCAAATAATTGATAGCTATCGCAAATTTAAATTGATTTAGAAAAATATACTGATTTTTTGGATTGATAGGTTGAACTTATTTTTTATTGTTAGTATCAGTTCAAATTGCATTTCTTAGTGGCTGGATTTGAGAGTGAAATTTGTGAATTAATAGCTTTTTGTGTAGTGTGTTGCTACAGCTAGTTATATTCTGTAGTTCTTATATTTTTATAGTGATAAAGATTCTATTCTATTCTATTCTATATAGATGACTGAGATTATATGAATTATACATTAATGAAAGAGAAATGCTTAATAAAGTATGACAATTAGTAATTCAAACATTTGGATGTCTCTTTTTTAATTATGTATGTGCCTCAAATGAGATATCCTCAGCTTTATTGTGGGTTTACTCTATCTCAGGGGAGGAAGTGAGTTTTGAACGAAACTATTTCATCACTGCAATTTCAAACATTCTGTAATTACTTGTATGTGTGATGTCTCTTTCTAACAATTTAGAAGTTTCCCAAAATATTATAATTTATCATAATATAAATGTGGGTGTGATTAAGCAAATCAAAAGTCAATTTAAGGTGAAACCTACAGCTTTTAGAGGCACTTAAAGGTCACTAAATGATGAATTTTAACAAAACATGAAATTTAAGAGGACCTGAAAGTACAACTAAAGATGAATTACAACAAAACCTGCAACTTTAAGTAGTACTTAAAGGGAAACAAAAGATTAAAGAAACCTTTAAGTTGCCTTTAAATGTAGAAGTTTTGGCAATTAAAGACGAGTTTACGAGAATTAGGAGGATTCTTAAAGTCAATTAAATGGTTATTTAGGTTTACTTTTATATGATCCTAAAGTGTTCATGAAATGGTTCATAAGGAGACTTTAATTGACTTCTGAAAGTTCAATTAAAGATTCATTTCAGAACTTTCGTATGTCACCTAAAGATGTCTTAAATACTTCTAATGTTAACCTTTAAGTTACCTTTAGGGAAACTTAATTTAGTCATTTCATCCTGTTATAAGTCTTTGTTTTACTTCATATTCGCATAGGATAGAAGACGCTAGCATTTTACTAGTCAACATTTTACGAGTTTATTCCTTACGATTGTTACTTTTCTTCAATCTTTACTGTAGAATGAACAGTTTAGTTTATAGCAACGATTAACGCTGAAATGAACAGCGATATTTGAGTCTTTGGTTAACTTCATATTCGCCTAGGTTAGCGGACGAAAACATTTTACGAGTTAACATTTTACAAGTTTATTCCTTACGATTGTTACTTTTCTTCAAGATTAAACACTCGATAAAATTTCGGGCGACATGACTTGGGATTTCGGGCGACATGACTCTGATTCCGGGCGACTTGACCGATTACCCAAAACCACGTTGCCTTGGAAACGATTTCTTCTTTGTCGAGTGCGCCACTCGAATGATGAACGGGGCTGGTTTAACATCCAGCGACTACAACGTTGTGGAGATATTCATCTTAATTAAGGCCGGATAAAGTTTCCCCGTAGAGAATGTGAGAAGAGCGTTCGAAATAATCAGAATGCAATAATGGATTCACGCAAAGTGCCACAACATGTCGACATCGACTTCTAAATATTTTCTTGAACGACCAGCAATCAAAAGGATTGTATGCTAAGTTCTCTACCGAGATTTGGGGACTCATTTTTCCTTGAGGATGAAGAAATAATAACTACTGGAGGAAACTATGCAAATAAGCTTCTTCTACAACCTAATGCAAATGAGATGAAGAACACACAATTTCACTCCCAGGAGAATATGGCAATTAACAACTGTGGCCAACAGGAATTTGATCTGCTCTTGCAAGAAAGGCAGGAACATTCCAATCGGATACTAATGTTTCATCTGAACATCAACAGCCTCCAAAATAAATTTGATGAACTGAAACTCCTGAATGATAAGATCAAGTCGCAAATTATTTTTCTCGCAAAGACGAAGATCAACAAGTCCTACCCGAGCAGCCAATTAACCTTAACGGATTACATTATCGAAAAGATAGAGAGAAAGGAGGCCGTGGGATAATAGCCTATTTTGATTGTAGTGCACCCTCGAAAGCGCTAAAAGTAACGAAGAAATACAAAACACTCGAGATTCTTGCAGTAGAGGCTAGACTCGGCGACAACGAAGTCATTTTCCTTGGGATATACCGACCCCCAAAGTAGTCGGATCACGAACTAGACGCACATTATTTAAAACGTATAGAGGAGGAACTGAATGACGTTTGCATGCGGGCTTCCTTCAAGAAACATATATTTATTTTTACAGGTGATCTGAACCTGGACAGCAGAGAAGGGAAAACACTTACCGACTTAGAAGAAGTGCATGGAATGCAATGTTTAATTACCAAGCCGACGAGGATTACGTCGACATCAGACTGAGAAACGAACGTCATTTTAACCAACAAACCCAACATTTTCAGGATGTGAGGCTCTTTTAACACAGAGATAAGTGATTACCACCTCATTTATGGAATTTTAAAGCAATCTGCATAACAGCATAGACGAAAGACGACACGGATCCGTTTAATGAGGACTTGGGAAATACTCCCTAGACTGTTGGAGAAACATTCGATACCATCGAGGACCAAGGTAACGCATAAAAACCATTTTATGAAAGTTTACTGGACAAACGTATGCCGAAAAAGAAGATGAGTTAGACAGAAAAATGTACCATAAATGACGAAAGAATGGAAAATGGCAATTGGCAACAAAAGGAAATATGCACCGTTGTTTGCCCAAAACCGAACTCTAGAAACTGGTAGTTAAAAAAGGAAATGGCGAAATTTGGCCTCTAAAGAGAAGAGACGAGCTATTAAAGCTCACTGGGCCCAAATATCGGACGAACTGAAGAGACCAAGGGATTTCTACGAATCCTTTAAACCATTCTTAAGTGATAAGAGCAAAGAGGAGGCAAAATTGCCACAAGGATTAACGAGCAAATTGTAACAAACCAGAAAGTAGTGGCAGACGAGCTTGAAGACTAGTTTTTAACTGCTACAAATGCCATTGATGGTGCACAGGTAACGAATTTAGTTGAGAAAGACTTTGAATGAACTGAGGAAAATACCAAGGGATTTCCACAAATCCTTTAAACCACTCTTAAGTGATAAGAGCAAAGAGGAGACAAAAACTGCCATTAGGATTAACGAGCGAATTGTAACAAACCAGAGAGTAGTGGCAGACGAGCTTAGAGACTGATGTTTAACTGTTGCAAATGCCATTGATGGTGCATAGGTAACGAACTTAGTTGAGAAAATCTTTGAAAAACACCCGAGTGTCGAGCATTCGGCAAACTTAGCAACGCCTTTAATTTGGATTTAACGAAATTGGCTCTGGTGAAGTGGAAAACGAACTGAAAATGCTTAAATCAAATAGCCACAGGGTGGGATGGAGTCTCTCCAAAAATTGTACAGTTAACTGCCAAGGGTCTAGCACTGTCCTTAGCAAGTTTCTAGAACATCGTTATTAGAAAGGGAAATTGGCCAAACACGTGGGAAATGGTGGAATGGACCCCTGTTTTCAAGAAAGGAGATAAAAACGAATGGGGAAATTACCGACCTATAACAGTACCGAACTCTATTGATAAAGTGTTCGAATCATTACTTTCCAAGAAAATCATAAAAACCATGGATCCAAATCTATACCAAAAATTGTCCGCCTACAGAAAATCACAGCTGTGAAACAACATTAATAAGGCTAACAGAGGACTGGAAGATGGCTGCCGATAACGATGAGTACGTGAATTTTCTATTCACTGATATGAGCAAAGCTTTTGACTCGCTGCACCCGCACTAACGATTCAGAAACTCAAATCATATAGCTTTTCCGGAGCATCACAGAATTTTATACGATTCTTCTTGAGCGTGGAAGAAACAGAGTCAAACTACATGAGGTGCAAAGTGCATGGAAGGAACAAAAAAGGGGGTGTCCACAAGGCTCCTCCTGCGGGCCTTTACTCTGGAACTTGTTCCAAAATGATCTCTCACTACATAGACATGATGACCATCAAATATACATCGGTGATAATGAAATATTGAAGGCCACCCAAACTCTTAGGAGACAAATAGAGGCAGTGTCACAATGGTACAAGGAAAACCTACTGCAAGCCAACCCTCAGAAATACTAGATCCATACGATAGATTAACAATCATCCAAGAAAACTCCTGGCCCCGGTTGTTCGAAAGCCGATTAAATTATCCCTCGATTAGAGGTTAATCGACGATTAAATTTCTTATCCCAAGGATAGCTAATCTAGGTTTAAAATAACGTTCCTGAAAGCAGATTTATCCCTTGATTAACTATCCCACGATTAAGCTGAGGTTAAACCAGTCAAACCGGTTATTAAGAGCTACGCGGCTACGCGCGAAAACAAATTGGAGGGAAAAAATGGCGGAAAGGGAGAGTGCACATGGAAGTGGAAACCAAACGAAAGACAGAAAAAGAAAGCATAATTTTTCAGTTTATGAGATTGAAGTCATCACCGATAATGTCAAAAAAAATCTCGATTTAATCCAATCCAAATTAACGAATGCTGTGACCAACAAAAAGAAACAAATGCTATGGGAAGAAATAACCCAAGCGGTAAATGCGGTCGGAACAGCCAAGCGAACAGTCACGGAGGTAAAAGACAAGTGGAAAAATCTCCATAGCATCGCCAAGAAAGAATTTGCAGAATTCAAGAGGGAGACCAAGATAACTGGAGGTGGTCGGGCTCCAAAGTCGCCGAGTGCTGCCAGCAAAGAGATTATTGAGGTGCTTGAGGACACGCCGGCGTTCAGCGGTTTGATTGGCTTTGAGACAGGTTTGTAAACAATTCTCTATTGTTTCTAGGTTACCAAAAATTTTAAAATTGTAGACAGTCAACCGGCCATGTTGTTTCGGCGGGGTTTTCAGCTTATCAGTCGCTTTCCCGTCTTTGAGCATACGAAATGTTCGGACACAAGGGAGGAAAAGATAAGTTTGCATGTTTTTTTTTCCAATATCCGTAACTGTATTAATCAAGTTTTACCTTGTTTAGTTTATTATCCCGTCACATTTCATGAGTGTACTTCACTAAGCGAAGGCTGCTACGGAGAACTCCAAACCGGTTTTCTGCTTTTGCGGCATTTATAGGGTTGCATTCGATTAAACCCTGTTTAAGCTGAATATAGACGAACGCTCATGACGGACTGTCAGTAATTTAGCAGACATATATATAAATTTCAGCTTCACTTGATTAATTCATATGTCGAAGATTGCATAGCTCCGTCATTTTGGAAAGCGATCTGAGGAGTGAGACAAAAACCTTTGATTTCGAAGAATGTCTTGGATACGGTTTATAATTTGGTTAAAATTCGATTTGCCAAAGACAAAGTGCTCCTATTGTTTCTTTATTTATCTTGTACTAAGGAGTGTTCTTCAAATATTTACGATCGGCTATTTACATGTATAAATAACTAATTTTTATTATTTCGTTTTGACGCAACTTTGTTTATGTTTGTGATTGACGAAATAATTTGTTGTTGTACCTGTTATCATGTCCTATTTTTTCGATCACTAAACTGTGGTACGGTTCTCGTTGTCGATTCACTCTGATTCCCCTTTATCTGTCTAAAATAAGCTTAACTTTTGGTACATGATTTACAGATTTTATAAGCATTTTCGTGAATGATTTCACTGAGTTAAGTCTACCAGTACACAAATTCATTTTATGAAATTGAATAATTTATTTTTTACATGTTTAAGCCTCAGATTCCTTGCGGGAGAGATGCTCCTTCTGTTATTTCATTTATGTGATGCATAAAACTAAATTCACACTTTTTGAGCCTGAGTGAAACCTTAATTGTGCTTGAAATATTTTGTAGGAGAAGATGCTCATTTACCAGCAGAGTCTGCGAAGACTGTGTTTGAAGAAGACTGTCTGAGCCTTAATGAAGACATGCATTCTTCACCAGCCAAGGCTGATGAACAGAGGAAGCCTTCAAAAAGGATAAGTAATGGCGATGTTTTAAAAATGCAGTACGAATGCCTGTGTACTCAGAAGGAAATGTTGAATCTTAAAAAACAAAAATTGAAAATGCAAATTCATCTTCTGGAGCAACAGGTCAATGCAAACCAAACCTTCGCAACTGCATTAAATGCAAATTTTGTAGTTCCCACCACCGATTCATTTTAAAGGAGGAATAGTGTAATAAGTCCTCTTAAAGAAATATTTTGGGCAAATGTTGTTCTCATATAATTTATTATAAAACATACACAATGTATTTTGTTCTCAAAATGTATTTTGACATAATAAAACAGATTCTTGAGTCAAACTTATTATAATGTGTTTTTTTCAACCAGAAACCCCTTAAATGCATATATGAATTTTTTATATTTCATGGGAAGTTAAATTAAGAGCAAAACTGATTGCATAAGGCAGAAATACAAAAATTAAAAATTGTCAGAAAAAGGTGTTGCAGATGTGGTCTCGGATGACCTTGCCATCCTCTGGACCCCGGAAGCAAACAAGATTAGGTTGATCATCAGCCTCAGCATAGCCATCCAAAGGTTCCTTTCTCAGAATTGCAATGTTATGTAAAACTGCACATGCTCCGATAATGATGGACACTTTTTCTGGCTTCATTCTGATCTCAGAATGAAGCAGATGGAACCTTCGCTTCCACCAGCCAAAGGCTTGTTCTATTGCCACTCTTGTTCTTTTGTGGGCACTGTTGAACTCTTGCTGCTTGTCAGTGACTGGATTCAGGTAAGGGGTCATCAGGTACGGCTTGCAAGGGTAACCACTGTCACCCAACAGTAAACCATCTTCCAGGGACTGGTGTTGGATATTAAGTTGTTGGCCAATTCTTGAATCCCTAAATATGAAGCTGTCATGGGTGCTGCCTGGCCATCGTGCTACAATGTTGGTAAACATGCCTAAAATAAAACAGCAAAGAAGTTATGTGACCAGTTCTCAGAATCTCATATCAGTTTATAACAATAATGTACTGCAAAGAGAAACAACAATAATTGTGTCTATGATGAACTGGGGTAACTGATACAAATATTTAGTTTACTTGGAAAACCTTTTCATTGTTTAATTTGTTTTTTGAAATTTGGGAGACTGCATCATTTTGAAATCCCTGCTGATTGTTGCACTCTGTTGGTCATTAGCTGAGCAATATATTCACAAATATCCCACATTATTTCTTGCTTTTTTCCCTTGTTTTTTACTTTTTTATACTGTCACTAAAATATTGGTGTGATAATTTTGGTAAATTTTCTGTATGTGTGTTTGCAAACCAAACTCCACCTATACCATTTGACTCAAAAAATATTAAAAAAAAAAAATTTATCACTACTCCCATTTCCTGAATATGTGAAACTGCAATCTAGTAACTCCCAACAATGCAACCCCATAGCAGCTGGTGTGCTAGAAATCTCAATCTAAAACCTTCTATAAGGGGAGTACCCCTCCCTGCCAAAGGTTATTTTGCAATTTTTATAGAACACTAATTGTGACATTTGAGTATTTTACCTACCTTTGTGATTGCAAATTGCTTGCACATTTATGGAATGGAACCCTTTACGATTGACAAAATCGTTTTCGTTTTCATGTGGTGCCTGAATCTTGATGTGAGTGCCGTCAACACAGCCAATCACCCCAGGAAATCCCCCTTGGTAAAAAAACCGCGTTTGTTTTGAAGTATCTCCTCTTCGGTCGATGGCCACTTGATGAAGTTACTTTGTTTCTGTGCAAGGGCAAGCGAAACTTGACCGATTATACGGGACACGGATGACTTTGACAGGCCCAGAGTATCTCCAATAACTTGAAGAAAGCTTCCGGAGGCGAAAAAGCGCAACGCTACAAGGACTTGCACAGTTGTCGACAAAGCATGGTTTCGAGATGTATCTCTTTCAAGATCGTCGCGAAGGAGCTCAGATAAAAATTCTATGGACTCTCGGCCAAAACGATATCGACTTCTCAATTCTTCATCAGTAAAATTGGACAGGGAAAAGTCGTCTGGTAGCCTAAATGTCCTTTCTTTCCTTCTGGGGGCCGGCATTAAGCCTAATCCGCCAAGTAATAAGTCGGCCATTTTGTTTTGTTTGGGGAAAGTTTTCCCTCGATTAGTGAGTTAATCCACCTCGCTAGGTGTGTTAAAGTTAACCTTTATTTTAACCCTGGGATAGTACTAATCGCGCTTTCAGGAACAGAAACTAATCGTAGGTTAAATTTTATTCTTGGGTTAGGGCGATTTAATCGTGGGTTAGCGCTAATCGGCTTTCGAACAACCGGGGCCTGGGTATGAATTGACGATGAAATTCGATGGACACGAAGTTAAATCATCTTATCATCTCAAAATTCTTGGCGTAACCATCGACAACAAACTGACACTCAGTGAACATTTCAGTAATATTTGCGAGAAAACGAGCTGTAATTTTGGGGTCCTACTGAGACTACGCAATTTAATCCCCTGGGCCCGGTTGTTCAAAACTGCGATTAGCGCTAATCCACGATTAAATAGGCTAATCGCCGATTAAATTTAAGTCGCCGATTAGTTTCTGTTGTTCAAAGCCCGATTATTCCTAACCTTCGATCAAACCAAGGGTTAAATCTAACCCTGCTCGCTAGGTGGATTAAATCCTTAATCGGCAGATTAAAAAATAAAAATCACAACATGGCTGACTTGTTGTATGGTTGTGTTGGTGTTGATGGGCGAAGAAAAAGGAAGCAAAGAGAGTTTAGGAGCATCGGTTTCACGATAGATGGATATACAGACGAAGAATTAAGAGCAAGGCAGACTTTTCGGGCGCCATTTGTTTTTTTGTTTACATCGGAGTACATGTAAAAGAAAATAAGAAAGAAACAAAATTCTAAAGTCCGTTAATTTTCACTTTGCTTTGTGTTTGTTAGCGAAGTATACATTTTATGCAAGGTATGGACATTGAGAGGTATTACAATAATGTTTCCATTTATAAACTTACCTGTTTCAAACCCCTGTAACCCAGTAAATGACGGTGTGTCACTGAACATGTTTATTATTTTTAAACTGGCTTCTGATGGGTTCGGGGGAGCAGGGCCACCACCTGTCTTCTTCTGTTCACTTTTAAAGGAACTGAATTCTCTTTTTGCGTGACTCTGGAGGTTTTTCCACTTGTCTCGTACTTCCTGCGTTGATCTTGCTGTCACACCGACGGCGTTTACCGCCTCCGAGATTTCTTCCCAAATCTTGTTTTTTTTTGCATTTGTTATACTGTTGGTAAATTTACTTTGAAGAATGTCCATATTTTCTTCAAATTTTTCCGTTAAAACGGAAATTTCAGCGGGTGAAAAGTTTGCTTTCCCCCTTTTTCGCTGGAGAAGCCATATTGACAAAAATAAATTTCCGGCAATTTTATGACATAAACTGGCACAAAATAAATTATAATTAATTAATATAATTCATTTTATGCTTAATCGCGGATTAGTAAATCGACCGAGTAATCTCCCTTTGAACAACCGTTTTTAAGAAATTTAATCGCCGATTAGGCCTAATCGGTGATTAGTTTAATCGCGGTTTTGAACAACCGGGCCATGGTCTGCAAAGGTACAGCTGTACAAGTCTAATATTTTGCCTCACCTTACATATTATGATATTGTATAGCACTTTTGCAAATCATCCGAAAAGAAGAAAATGGAAAGATTTCAAGAGCGGGCACTCAGAGCAATCTTTAAATCTAAATCGGAGACCTATAGCGAGCCCCCAACAAGAGCAGGTCTACGAAGTCTGTACCGACAAAACACCGCCATTTTCATGTATAAAGTGAAAAACGGAGTTATGCCCACTTATACAACAGAAATATTTAATACTGCCCCGAAACGATATAATCTGAGGAACGCTGATTTCAATATTCGATGCTTTCGCACAGTAGACATTTTCTACGACACTTTGGACCCCATCTTTGGAATAAATTAGAGCAAAGTGATGGAGAGAATCTTAAGTTGATGAGTTTTAAAAACAGTATTAAGAGCAAAGACCTATCACTCTTAATAATAATTGTAAAACTGTAATATATGCTGCTTGGCCGCTTTGAGGTTTACATTTTATATATATTTGATACCTTCTAAGCTTATTTTACTAAATTCTTATACTTCACTCACTTAATTATTTATCTATCTATTCTATACATTATGAATTAAAGTGTAAATAATTTTAACTTTATCTAGGTATATTTTAATGCGTAAACAGTGTCTCCAATTAGTTTTCTTCAAGCTAAATACTATTGAAACTTTAAGAAAGAACTTCATTCATTCATTCAAGTGTGTTACTAAAGAAAACTGTCAAAATGTTGCGCTGACCTCTTCCTCAAGTATGCCAGCATCCTTTTTACTTCTTGAGCTATGTCGACAATGTTGGACTTAAAATGTACGACCTCTAACTCACTAAGGTCATAAAAGCATTCAGCAAAACGCAGCTTCATAACGAGGCGAATTTTAAATAGCCTTTTCGTATCATGTTGGGTATCGTTGGAAGACGGCGTCGTCAGAGGGAATGATAAACTCTGGAGAATGACAATATCCTCTTCGCTTGTATTCCAATATCGTGCGATTTCCCCTTCTGTATCGTTCGAAAGCAATTCTTTATTGGCGCTCACTATGGAACTAGATCTAGTGAGCTCTTGGCAACTTATATAATTGGGACAATTATCAAAGATTTGTTGAGATAAAGTTGATCTTGACTCTGGATCAAGACTTTGAAGTGAAGTGTGAAGATCTTGAGACACCGCACCGAACTCTCTCTGCCAAAATTCCTTCCAGAAGACGTCGTCAGAGAGTTTAAATTCTTGCTTTTTTACATTCCTTTTAAAGTAAAAAGGTAGATATTCCAGTAACTTGGTTAACTTCGCTGAGAAATAGTTGCACATGAATTCAGTTAACGACGCGTTGGGAGACGTTACATTTGTTCTGACGTCTCTGTAATACTCAACTATAATCACGATGAAGAAATTGACCAAAAGTAGTCTCATCCAAATGACGAACGTATACATAAATAATAAACCAATTATCGGGTACTGAACTTTGTCATCAGTGAGGTTTACATTTCCACCTATACACATCTGAATAACGGTTACAAGGGCTCGATAGAAGGATGAAAATGATGATATTTTGATACCAAAAGCCAGATATCCAGCCAATGAGAACGCCACTAG